TTAATAGCAAACCCATCCTTAAATGAAGTCCAAGTATTGAATTAATTGATTCGGTTTATTGTAAATAAAGAACATGCAGCTGGAAAGTTGAAATTGCTCAACTTACATTATACTTGATTTGTACAACACAATAAATGATCAAAATATGAATGACTAAAATGTACAACCATACATGTAAATCATGCATAATGAAAGTATATAAAACTCTCAAATATTACATACAAATCTAAATACATGTACATGTATATTGAAAACTTCTATGTCATCTTACAATGTAAGAAGGAAAGGAGAGAGAGAGAGAGACGGAACGAGAAAGAGGAAGAGAAGGAAGAAGAATTAGAAAGAAAGAAAAGTTGATTATAATTTATAGAGAATATACTAAAGATTGGAAAATGAAAAGTAGAAAGAGAGGAGAATGATCGAAGACCATTAATATTCATGAGGTACATACAGTCTTAAGGTATGTTTTCATTTCAAACAGGAATAAAGGAATGAAAGTCTCTGCAAAGTGCACCTTCAGTCATGTCAGTTGAAGTACATGTATAAAAACAAACACTTTGAATAAATAACATATTAACATCATTTTAACAATTGTTGATGTCAAAAGAGCTAAGCTATGCCAATCCAGCAATACATCCAAGTTTAATGCAAGTTATTTTGTAACTCCAAAAGACAATTATATGAAGATTGAAAAAATGTCATATTCACTATTACATGTAGTACAGTAGTCTATATAGGCCTACAGAGCATCATAGAAGTACAAAATTATGTATTGTGTGAAGAAAGAAGAAGGACTAAAAATAGCAGAGGAAAGAGGTAGGAAAACAGAAAGAAGATAGAAAAAGATGAGAACCAAAGAGAAGAGGAAGAAAAAGGGGATTCACACAAACTTGACAAAGAGAGTCATATGAAATAGCATGGATAGTAAAACATCCTAAAAGTACATGGATAATATTATCAAAAAGATATTGCACAAGGTATATTACACTGGAGAAAAAAATCAAAGCTATTAATAATAATGAGGGTTTATTCAGGATAGACTAAAGGTCTACATCTAACTTAGATAACCGATTGAAAGGTGGCCTAACCTAGATGTTCGGAATGTACATTTAATATTAGGTCCTAACTATTAGTATTAGGCCCAACAACGCTTCCTTCTATAACTGATTCCTAATGTTAGATGCAAGTAAGATTCTCTATTTTAGTTTCATTTTATCTCCCTAAATTATTAAATAAACAAGCTTAGTTTAATAATGAAAACTAGCCTTACGAATACTATAGGCCTCAGTAGGTGGAAAAGGGTATAGATCTAGGTCTAGGAAAATTTCCTGCACAGGTCAGTAGGTCTTTAAGTTCTAATCTGGTCCAAATTTGTTGGTGTTTGCTTCTAATTTTCTTCCACAATTCCACAAATTCGAAAGTAGTTATCAACAGCAAATGTCAGTTTTATTAAAGAAATGACCCAAATCAGATGGTTATTTCTGTCTAGCAGTGAAATGATCTAGGCCTACTCGTATCAAATTTTCCGAGACAGTCCCGCCCGCGTCTTATTTTTTCGTACCACGGCGAGCCCGGATTCCTGTTTTATCATGAATATTCATTAGGCAGGGCCGGGGAAAGTCTCGATTCTCTTGAATATTCATGTATGATCGAGGCATGCGCAGCATCGAATATCGTGTGTAACAAGTACGTTGGATTAATGGCAGGCCTATACTATGACATAGAAAAGCAATGTCATGGTCATTTAGATAATACAGTCATAAATGCTGTGTTTAATTACTAGTAAATGCCAAAATTTCAGTACCGGTAGACAAGATATATAGCATATATTTCAAGTAAGAGTCTTGATAGGCAATTTGTGAGTAGCCTAGGCCTACTTTTCTGAGATTAATGGGAGTCTAGTTCTTTTCATAAATTGGTAAATAATCAGTTCTAGGTTTGCTTTTTAAATATTACAAGCAGAGGTTGCATTACGGTATTGAATATGTGATACAGTATTATAAACTGTATAAAATAGATAACAAGAATAGGCCTACATACAGACATTTATCAAAAATAAAATACTTGTGTATTGCACTTAAATTATTTCTATGATCTATGCTCACTTAACTGCATAAGGAAGAAAAGGAAGAAAGAAAAATGGGATTAGAAAGAAGAATAACAAAGTTAAAAAGTAAAATATATATAAATAATAAATGAATGGAAGAAATAAAGAATACGGAATAGATACCAAGGAAGAAAGAAATAAATTGCAAGAAAATTGAAATGAAAAGAAGACAAAAGAAAAAGGGAAAGGAGCAAGATAATATTGATACCATATCTTCAATCTTGTTTTCTTTTATCTTGCCTCTTGTTTTTGTTTAGGCCTAGCTACCATTTTTTCCTTTCCTTTCTCTTTTTCTCTTAAAAGTTCTCTTTGGTTTCTTTCTAAAATAATGAGGGAAGGGGGGGGGGGGGGGGTGGGGGACTCGATGATAATTCATCATTTGAAGGTTTACAATGTGAAGTCCATGAGTTATATGCACCCACTGAAGAAAATCCATGTACAGGGTTGCTGCAGGAACCCCAGCACCCACAGATCCCACGCATGATGAGACAAACTCGAGAGAAAACTACACATTCTTTCACATACATTGAAGAAAGAAAAAAAAAGAAAAAAAATCCAAGATCGGTTGAACTCTTTTTGACCCCTCCCCAGGACGTCGATCAATTACATGTATGTGCCCCTGCCCCCCCCCAAACTCTGGCTACGGCCCTGGCGATAATTACCCACTATTCAAATACTGACAGGTGCCCCTTTTTCTTCAACAAATGCCCCTTTAACTTCATAATAAGTGCCACTGTTCCATTTTCATAAGTGCCCCTTGTGATATCTGATAAAAGCCCTTTCATTTTTTTTTTACTTTGACACGAGTCCCCTTAAACTTTCTAACAAGTGCCCTTTTACCTTTTGATATGTGCCCCTTTCCCTGTTTAATAGGAGCCCCAACCCCAACCCTTTCTCATAAATGCCCCTTTGACACATGCCCCCTTTTCCTTTTTTTATAATTCCCCTTTTCTCTCTTTCTCTGTCTTTCGAAAACTATCTTCTGCAAGGTTTGTTCTCTTGACCGAGCAACCTGTTGCAATTCCTTTCTGTCTCACTTTCAGTCGTACTTGTTGCCACTCATTTGCATTCACTCGTTATCAACTACCATCAACTATTTCATATTCACTCCATTACTGTCCACATTTCAATTTCATTCTCTTCACTCTCCCTTTTTGCAGCCTTTCCAGGAGCTTTGCTAGAAGTAGAACATTTTTAATGTAGAGGCCAGAGAAACCGGAAAGTATGTTAATCATTTTATTCAAATATCTAACTTTAAAAAAAGGAAAGTGAAACATTGTTTAATTACAATATATTGACATAATTTTGTTAAAGAAAAAATTTGAATTTAACACTGGAAATTTGTAATTGGTTTGCCAGCCCCCCCCCCCCCCAAAAAAAAAAAAACACACTCAAAACACAACAGTGGTACCAGGGTTTTTGTTAGGAGGCCCATGTACTGTATAATTTTTATTCTTAAGAATAGTTTTCTCTTTTTTATTAATTTGACATTGGCATACCGTAAATTTCACCAGGAACCCCCCTCCCCCACATTAACAATCGACACTGCCATTACTTCTACCAACAGTAATGCTATAATTCAAAATTTCACTTTCTAAATCCTTCTAATATAAACATATAATCATATTTGTACAGAGGATAAGATAAGAGGATAGCAAGCCCCCCCCCCCCCCCCCCACTCCCTGTTTTCTTTAGTTGGGAAGCATCGAAACATGATTCTATGAAAGCTACCAGTTTGGATACGAAAGGCAATGAGGGGATAAGCAGTTTCCATATTTAATGCATTTAGAGTGTTGTCTTTCAAACCTTCTTACATACAATACTTGAAGTAGCAATAATTTCATAATCTACAAATCTTCCCATACAGAAGTCCATAGAGGTAAATGAATTTTAACATGTATAATTATAATCAAAATATCATTGATTAATTCAATCTTTGATATAGACTGATAGACCTTTATCAATCAAATTTGAAGGAGAATCTTTCTGCCCAGTCCTCAGTTTCATCCTATAAGATGGTAGTTGACATTGTTAGAATTTTAATGTTTATTCGTTGAGGATTAGTTATCTTTAATTATTTGAAAGTCGACAAGATGATAAACTTCATTAGCTTTATTGAATGTAGTATTCTACAAACATATAATACAAATAACAAATAAATATCATGTAAATATTCCAGTTTAAACCCATCTCTATTGTCCTCTTTCATTATATGAGGGTGGCATCTTTAAGACGTAGTCTCGTGTAGATATCTTCTGCATCCATCACTAAAGTTGTAGCCTAGTTTTCAGAAAAAAATATAACCCAAGTCTGTTGAATGGAAAAATGAAATAAGATATAAAAAAAATCAACAATGACTAATAACATACACCCTGATACCTGCTCAGAAAAAGGAAGGACTGAAATTCACTTGGGGTTCTAGTGGGCAAACCTAAACTATTTTTTGTACAAGACTAGTTTAAATACTGACCGCATCTTAAATTATTACTGATGATCCCATTAAGACGATAGGCCTGCTGGAGCTCGGATCAGACAAGGTATGAAATAAGTAATACAATGTAATACAACTCGTGCTCATACCGGTAATTGAATAATACTCGGTTAAGTATGGGACATAAAATGACCAAACAACTTTGACCAGCGAATGTACTGGAAATAATGCTACTGAAACATACGTAATGTAGACTTATATTTCATCTACATGTATATTGACATTTAATTTTTAATCTAAATTACAATTGTGATATTAAGTCAATTATTCTTTTACAAGTCAACTGACAATGAAAAATATCTGTTTCAGATCTATAATTTTCTCCATGACATTTGTTCCACAAAAATTTATTGGGGGTACCTTCATGTATATTAGCACACTTGCTCGTATGAAGTGTAGACAGTAGTAGGCCCGCATCTCTAGATATGATCCCGTCAACATCTGTTCTTTGTTCCTCTCCTGAGTTTGCAAACCAGAATGCCTTCATCATCCACTGTAGAGAGGCATCATCCTACATGAGAGAAAACAAAGTAGGTACATGTACTTCAATTAAAAACTGATACTGATGGATACATATCAACCATAATACATCCTATAAACAGACTTTTATCAATCTTATTTTGTGTTCTTCTTCATCTTCATTGCTCAAGAAGTGAAAGTACCCCTTACAAAAAAAAAATGAGGGGTCCTGTGTATACCCTACATGTAGTGCTTACAATGTGCATTTGATATGGCTCTTCTAAACACAGGACCTCCTGTAAATAAGGACAAATTTTCCTTTGTAAACATAGAAAGAAAAGACATCAATATTTGTATACTAGGTGCAGAACTAGAATAAAATATACCCTCCACTATATATGCTTGCAATGTCAACTTAGTTCCATTTCCTTTTGAGTGAATTAATAGGTGGTCGTTTAATATGTGTGTGCTAAATAACCTGATAACTGTACCTGCATGGGACTTTCTGCTTCATCTTGCAAATATAAGAGATGTTGTAATGTCCTCCTTCCAGCTCTTCAGTTTCAATCTTTTGTAACAAAAAGAAGAAGAAAATCAATACGACAATCAAGGCATCCCTTTCTCCTTAACAAAATAAAATAGATCTAGCATAATTCAAATTAATAGATATTTTTATGTCATGGTTGGCCTTAATTTTAATATGGTGTGGAAATCAACATTCCTATTTAATGAACCACAGTACAAAGTAAAACTAAATGGAAGATTTAACTTGTGCATCAAACAGTGGTTTCTATGGCCTATGAACACGAAGCAGTACTAAGTAGAATTAGTTTATTATAACAAGAAGAGGTGGACTACATACCATATAAGCAGAGGCGGCGCTCCGAGAGGGGGGGGGGGGGGGGCAGAGTGCCCTCCCATTTGGTCAAGTACCCTAAAAGTGCCCCTTTTTGCATAGGAAAAGTGCCCCTTTTTACATAGGAAAGTGCCCCTTTTACTCTGACAAGTGCCCCTATTAAGTTTTTAAAGTGCCCCTTCCCCTTTTAATAACTACCCCTTTTAACTTGGATAAGCGCACCTTATATCTTCACATGTGCTCCCTTTCATTTTTAATAAGTGCCCCTTTTTCTTATAAGTGCCCCCATTTAAAAATAGGCCCTTTCCCTTCTCATAAATGCCCCTTTTCATCTATGAAAATAGTTCCTTTTCATTCTCTTAAGTGCCCCTTTTCATCTCTTGTAAATGACCCTATTCACTTCTGAGAGATACTTGTTTTACTTTGACAAGCACCCCTTCCCCTCCTAGTCAGTACTCTTTTCATCTCTTATAAATGCCCCTTTTATTTTGACACATCCTCCTTTTCCTTCCTATATAATGCCTTTTTTCCTTATAAGCACACTTACCCCTTATCATAATTACCGGTACCACTTTTCGTCTTTGATAAGTGCCCCGTTTATTTAAACATGTGCCACTTTTTCTTTTTAATAAGAGCCACTTCCCCGTCTCATTACCCTTTTAACAATGATATGTACCCTATTTCCTTTCTTATAAAGAACCTATCCCTTTTTCATAAATGCCCCTTTTCACTGCTTATAAATGCCCCCCTATCAAAATCTGATGGGTGCCTCTTTTCCGTCGACAAATGCCCATGTTCTTATCATCCCTGGTGCATGCCTCTTTGTTTAGGTGTAAGAAGTGCCCCATTTTCACCTCTGATAATTAGCCTTTGTACTTTGACACATGCTTCTTTTCTTTTCTGATAAGTGTCTTAACCCTTTCGATAAGTGTCCCCTTTTCCTCTCATCATTAAATGTGTCCCTAATTTCAAGCGACTAAAAGCAATTTCCCACAAAGCTCGCTCGCTACGCTTGCCCATAGTTATAGACGTTATAATTATGTAACTTATCACAGATCTATTCAGTCTTCCGTTATGAGATTGTGCTTATATAACCCCATCAGGATTGGGTTTTCCTCTTTATAAGATGTAATTTTTCGCACTGCAAGCCAAAAACTGCAAAGTATGATACTTAAGCAATATCTTAAATGCTGTATTAAGAGAAACAAATATTGAAATCATCCCTGATAATGTAATCACAAAATAGGGGTATATACCAATGTCAAAAAAATGGTATATTTTCCCTCTGAAGGTGCCCTTTTCTCAAGAAAGTGCCCTTTTTGTTGGTGCCCCCCCCCCCACTTTGGAAGTTGCTCCGCCCAAAGGCTCCGCCGCCTCTGCGTATAAGTAAACATAATTGTCGACTACCCTAGGGGTCTTCTCTTATACAACGTCCAACAAAAAATAGATTTATCAAATGAACTGCACACTTTGGAGAAGAAAAAATCTTTAATATAGGTCTAGATCTAGAAAAGTTATGACAACTTGACAAGCACACTGGACACACACAACATCTGAACATTAAATAAATGAATCCTAGATCTAGGTCTAATTTGTTTGTTTTTGAATATTTTTATTAATAAGTTCCAGGTTTACGTCTAAATGAAATATGGTTTGGAGCTGTTTGATTATCCATGGTCACAAACAATTTTGGTCTAAAAGTTGACACGCACCAATGATGCAACTGAGCGAACGGCGGGCGAACGGATAGCACTTAGTCTTAGTAATACTAGTATAGCCAACAGAGTCGACATCTACTAAAGATATAAACAAGAATTAACCCTCTTGGATTATTAAAGAAATCATACTTCATAGATTATTTTAAGGTGTAACGTTAAATCTAGATTTAAATTCAATGGATGATTGGTGAATTAGATTCACGATGACGATCAAATTTGGAATAAAACCTGATCAGAAAGTTTTATCTTGATGCAGATGAGCACCGAAATTCCCCAACGTGGGCCTGCCGGAACCCCGGGGCTCTAAAGGGTGACATGAAGGCAAACCGCAGTCAAACTACTTCACGACGATGAAAATCAAAGTGCAATTTCAAGAGAAATATTTTCCTAGCCTTTTCCCCACAAATCTGTTGAGAACAGTCTCAAAATGTAAAGAAATTACAGTAGATCACGAATTACAGCTTTTTCAAATTAATGACTAAATTCTCTTAATCTACTGATATTTCAATCAATTACTCACCCATATGCATTCTCCGTGAATCTTCTCACTTTGTGCGAGTATAGCGCGCGTCGTGCATTCCCACCTCGATATGAATATTTAAGAGAATCGAGACTTGTACTTTCCCCGACCCTGCCTAATGAATATTCATGATAAAACAGGAATCCGGCCTCGCCGTGGTACGAAAAAATAAGACGCGTCCCGCCCGCAAGTCGTGGCCAAGCTATGGCCAAGAAGTGACAGGGTAGCAATGGCAATCAAGCTGAAATATTAGTACACGACGATGAAAAATGTATCAAAAGTTCGAGATCGGATTGCTCCTAGATCTACATTCATCACAGATAACAATTTCACAATCATTTCCAAATGTACAAAAACTTCTGCAGATTCCTAATATCAGCACATCTTTTCATAAATATGACTTAATTTACGAATTGAAGCGTAATTACAACTGTACTCACCAGCAAACTTTCCAAGAAATAAAAATCTTCCTCTGAGTGGGTACGTCTACGTCACGTCATACACGCATACATACAGCTAGCTAGTGGTGGTGGTGCATTGGTGGTGGTGCATTGGATTTGTACACAGCTGTTTAGTTCAGTAAAGAATTGTACTGTGCGAACTACCAGAGACAGAGTATAACCAGCTGTACTTATCTCATTCGCGACAATGGTTCTCAAATAATGATCACTCAGTGCTAGCAGGACACTATATATATAGAGGCAATCCAGGGGCCCGTTACCCCCGGCAAATGCTGAATTTCTATGACAAATTTGCTCTCAGCCAATCAGATGCCATGATTTCATAGCTTCATAGCTTATAACAGTAGCTTGTAACAGTAGCTTGTAACTTGTTATTGATAACAAGTTTCATGAAACAGGGCCCAGCTGTTAAGGCCAGGAATGCACCATTCACTGACGGGGAAATGCATTTTATGAGGGACAATTTTTTTACTAAATGTTTGTGATGTACATCAAATAAAAGGAAATTAAATCTTTATGAACCCATTTTCACTTATCTGTGGCTGTCTTGAAGTGTGATAATGCTTACATTTATTCAGAAATATCCTTTTTTCATGCACTGATTGTAATATATATGGACTGAAATGCCCTTCGTGGTAGTGGAGTAGGCCACATGTCTAGACATCAGGCTTTGGGCTATAGTAGAGTCAAAGTGTGTAGACCCCGCTGATATTTTTCGGGGACGAAGGTTTTTAAGTGTTTTTGAGTTGTTTGGAGGTCAATGATTAAAATTAGCTTGGGTAGTCCCCTCCTAACCCCCGGCAACTCTTGTAGGGGTCAAAATAAGGTCAAAATGGGGGTCAATAGGGGGTCAATTTTTTTAAATGCCCTGATTATGTTAAAAGACATGTCAAATTGTTTGTTTTATCATACTGAATAAAAAAGTGTACATGATCATATACCCCTGACCTCCCGTTAAGAAGTTATGGCCGGAAAAGTCAAAAGGTCAACAAACTTTCATTGAGGGCAAAATACACTAAAAGTGTTAGGATCGATCAATTTTCATGTTTTTTGTGTCTATTTATATGTATTTTGATTTATAAATTTGAATGAGACAATTTCTACTTAAGAAGACCGTATTCAAAAGATATAAGGGGTCAAAATAAGGTCATTTGGGGTCAAATGAGCTCCTTTGGGATCAAAATACACTAACAGACTTAGGAGTTATTTGTGTCAAATTATGTGTAAATTGATGAATAATAGTGAATGAATTTTTTTTTTTTTTAAATTTAGAAAACCGTATTCAATTGATGTAAGGAGTCATTATAAGGCCCAAATGGGGTCATTTGGGGTCAAAAATGTTTAATTGACCTAAATTGTGCTGTAATGCACTCTCACACTGAATGAGAAAGAGCAGTTTTATTCTAGGGTTAAAATACGATAGGAGTGACAACAAAGCCATGTTCATTTTTTTTAAGTGTCACGATGCAGTTTACATGTAATTTAACTGGTGGCCACAATTTCAAATTAGCTTGATTGTTTTTATCTGCCCATCAGTTACATACACAACCCTGCGCTCTCTTACTAGGTATGGTAAATTTCTTAATTTGTTGCAACATACCGGATAGATGTGACAAATCAGAGGTTCTACGCATAGTCGGAATCTTCAGAGACAGAGTCTTGATCATTATCGATATCCGAATCGGAGTCAGACTGTGGAGATTGGTCATCTGCTGGTATTAGGTTGGTCAAACGTGTAGGCAATGCAGGCTTGGTGTATCGAAGTGGGATGCAGTTGCCATCTTTCATGTGCCATCCATGGTGGAGAGGTGATGGAGGAGCATCTGGACTCCTGAAGTTCAGGAAGATGTATGCCTGATAGTTGGCTCGTCTGACCTTCATCTGATGTGAGTCGCAATCAGGTGGCATTCTCTGTGTTGCTTTTTTCTTCATACTCTCCCACTTCTTTGCTCTTGCCTCTGCTAAACTTGTACTAGTTTTGTCTTTGTAGATGAACTTAATTGTGAATTGCTCCATGTCGATTTGGGTGTCTTCTGATACAGGCAGCTGTTTCCCAAGTCCTTGGAGCAAACTCCTTCCTTCCTCTGACTTCATTGCCGATTCAAAGATGGATGGTTTGCCATGGCCATAGAAGCCAGAGACAGCGTCTGCACCAGTATATATAAGTCGTCTCTGGGTGTTCTAATGACATGATCTTGAACTCTGCATTCAGAAACTGTTGGAGCCGAACTTTGTTGCCTGGATTTTTGAACATATCATTGAACAGCCTGGATGTTGGCAGCGGATCATCTCTTCTCATAAATACATTTCGGCTACCTCCTACATAAGTAACGCCTGTACGCCTCTGATGTTCACTATCCTTGATACTCTCATCTAGGTCATAGGGATCATTCACAAAGAAAATTGTGGTCGCCTTTCTGTGACGACCTGCAACTATGTTGTAAATCTTGTTTGCATAATCGCCCCACGTGTAATCTGTACCATCCTGCTTTTCTCTATCCTCTGCTGATGGAGTACTAAGTCTCCAAATGAATCCTATGTCGACGAGTGCAATGTAGTTGTCAAGCGAGTTTATCTCCTCAAGATTGAGCTTGTCAACCAACTTTGATTTCATCACCTTTCTCAGTGTTCCGTTCACGTTAAAGATAGGTAGACATTCATCTGTATCACGATATTGCATTACATCGCTCAGTCGAAATGTGTCCTCACATTTCTGAGCAAGAGAGATTACCTCTGTCATGGCCTTGTTCTCCATTGCATCAGTCTTTGTAACCCGAGATGTTCCTTTAACAATTGGTGGCTTGGTGAAACTGCAGCGTGAATTCCTGTGCATCGTGTCATCAAAGTTCTTCTTATCGGAAAACATCCTCTCTTTGAAAAATGATTGAACAAGCACTTCACCATCTTTGTGCGCATTCTCAAAGTCAACGACCAGCTGATCGGATGCCATCATACCAGACTGCAGAGACCTCAATGTTGGCTTGGTCTCATCAAACGGGTCACAGTCAAACTCACCCAGGCATTTGTCCAGATCTTGAACCCCTTTCTCATCTCTCTGCAGTCTCTTCTTGCAATTTTCTCTGTGATCCTTGGAAGAGTCTTTGAGGTTTGCCAGTACATGCAAGGAGTTTCTCACTTTGTTGCAAGCATTTGTGGTTTTTGTGTGTGCAAGTAACATCTTTTCGTTCTTCAAGATATGTTTCCATCCTGCTTTCATCTTTGAACCCTTGTTCATGGTCATCTCTATCCATAGATCTAGGGGTAAACAGAAATATGGTTTCCCGGCGGTCATTGATTGGGAGAACAACCCCTCTTTCAAGTAGGTTTCTCTTCTGGTAGACTTGAGATCTCGAGCCAAAACTCAACCAGCCACTTGCTGTATTTGTCATTATCGTAGATGCGCAACCATGGAAACATCATCCTGAGAGAAGCTTTGAACGAATCCCAGTCTTGTGTCCGCAGAGCATGTATGTTCATTAGCAGTATTTCCACCATGTCCATGAAGCTTAGCCAGAACCTAGCCATTGGAGAATCAGATGCTTCAACGCTTTCAAATGCCTTTGTCACAAAAGATGTCAATTCTTCATTTTCCAGGAGATCTGCAGCTGCTGCTTGCAACTGCGCTTGTGAACATGTAGATGGATTTTTGAGAATCTCAAGGCTAACTTTAAGTTCAGGTGACAGATCTACCCCACTGGAAAGTTCATGTCGAATGACTCTGCGCATGAGTACCTCATACATGAGAGTGAGACATCTTATGCTCCTGTTGTAGTGCTTCCCACGAAGTGCCTGGTCAACCGAACCTTCTGCGATGATATGTCTGCTGCGACAAGAATGTCAGATAATCCCGAGCCTTGAAAGCGCTTGTTGATTGCTGATATGAATGACAATTGAGTGTGGAATGGACCAAGGACAGGGAGGATATAAGCTCAAATTTGGCTTGATTCTCATTCTTTAGTTGTACCCTCAATGCATACACAGGTTGGTCACCAACAAGCTGAATGAATGGCATTGACTTGGCTACAGCTGCAGAAACCATCCTACACATGAACTCATGAACTACTGATTTCTGAGGTGGCTTTGGAAATGTCAGGAAATAGTGAGCAGAACTCTTTGTAACATTTCCCTGGATTTTCGCCTGGAAGCCAGTGAAACCTCCAACCTTTTGATCAGGAACTTGGATGTTATGTCCTGCATTATTAGTCCGAGCCAATGAATGCACTGCACTCCTCTTTCTTTGCCCACAACTCGTCGGAAGAGATGTATCAACTTCAGTACGCACTTCTGGCTGACCACGTTTTACTGTTTTGTATGGATGTACTTTGAGCTGTTCAGAAGTTACTTGTTTTAGGTCATCGGACTTGACCAACTGAAGAGGGGAGCATTCGTCTCCTGTGGCTGTGAAGTGATCAGGCTGGACAAACATAACATTAGTTCGATGAGATGTATCTGCCCCAGTAAGTGTGTCATCCTTAAAGTCATCATTGTCCAAGATGCCAGTACCTGGAAAACCTTATGCTATTGCATCTGGGCAGGTTGAGTCTTCCTTTACTGCATGC